TGTTCTGTAGAGTATTACACTGTCTATGACTGTATTGTATTATTTGTACATGGACTAGGCCCTATAGTATTGTTCTGTAGTGTATTACCATGTCTATGGCTGTGTTGTATTATTTGTACATGGACTAGGCGCTATAGTATTGTTCTGTAGAGTATTACATTGTCTATGGCCGTGTTGTATTATTTGTACATGGACTAGGTCCTATATTATTGTTCTGTAGTGTATTACATTGTCTATGTGCTATCCGACAGGGTTCGCGTCTATGTCCGTCCCCGTTTACGTGGCTGAGGCGGCCCCACCAACCATCCGAGGAGCTCTGGTCACACTCAATCAGCTCTTCATCACCATTGGTATCCTCGTCTCCAGTATTATTGCCGGGGCTTTCAGCACAGACAAAGAAAACGGATGGAGGTAAGTATATAACCTAGGATAAGTGTGAAACATTTGCATATTTTAATGATGTATTTCTATGAAGCATGAAGCTATACTTCTCATAGAGAACGACGTCCATTAACACGTTTAATGTTTAACAAACAGAATGTATATACATGATGTGTATGATCCTATTTCATGATGTCAATGATGCAGTCAATATAATAGCTGCCTTCGGCTTTTATTAAATATCCCTTTTATTTTGTTTTGATATGTGTTCACATATAATGCAACAGTTCTGTGTTTTCCTGTTTGAGCTAATCGCCTCGGACATTTGACAATCTGATATTGTCTACATTGTTGCAATAACTTAATTGTCCAAAAAAACACATATCACATTATTCGTATCCTACATCTAGTATCGGGTTGACAAATGACCTAATTTCTATGGAATCATCTGCACAGGTACATGCTGGGTCTGGCTGGTATTCCAAGTGTCATACAGTTTATAGGATTTTTCTTCTTGCCGGAGAGTCCTCGTTGGCTGTTGAGCAAAGGGCGCGATGAAGACGCTAGGAAATCTCTGATGAAGATCAGGGAAACAGTGGACGTGGACACAGAGTTCAACCAGATCAAGGAATCGTTGGAGAACGAAAGTTCCCAACAACAAGGAAGTGAGTATCACGCCGCTTCCCCACACAAAGTAGGGTTAAAGACGTTAGGCCCGATGGCAACAACCGCTAGCGTTACTCCAACTGTTGGTAGAAGTCGCAACTGTTACTGCTACCGAGTTACATGTGCATGAATGGCCGGGGTAAAACTGCAGTACTGCAACGCAAAATCATGCAAATAGTGCCTGGGATCAAGTCTGCAAATTTGATATCCGCCTGTTTGATATAGCTCTGTGAGGGACAGGTACATTTGGTAGGGTTGCATTATTATTATTTATTTGTACTTCTGGTAAAACAGATACATGTATAACGATTATCTGTGTAAGCACATACCTTTAATATCCGTGTATATGTCTATTCAGATGTCTGTGTGACGTTAGGACTGATATTCAAGTCACAGCCTGTCCGTCGAGCCCTCGCCATAGGCTGTTTACTTCAGTTCTTCCAGCAGCTGTGTGGTATCAACACCGTCATGTACGCAAACAGTGACTTAAAAAGCTTACATTTTAGCCTGAAATTCAACTTGAATATGTTATTTACTTGGTAATGCACTGAATTATATTTGAAAACACTTCTTTGAAAAAACGAAGCCTGGTTGGCGTTTATGTGAATGTCTAAATTTTTGTCTTCAATCGGCAGCAATTTTGAAGTTCAAAGTGATAAAAAAAAATACATTTATTAATACATAACCGGCAAATCAGCTTTACCAACAGCTAGGACAATTGTTGACTCTGTTTATAGAAGCATTCATGCTTTCAATCAATTTTTGTGTCAATTTGACGTTCTTGTCTCTCTACAGATACTATAGCGCCAGCATCCTCCGAATGGCCGGTTTCCCTTCCCAGCAGGCCATATGGCTTGTTTGTGTTCCGAATGCTGTCAACATGCTTTGTACATTTATTGGAATCTACCTGGTGGAGAAATCTGGTCGGAAGATTTTGACCCTGATCAGTTTCGTTGGTATGACAATCCACTCTCATTGTCTTATTGAAGACTTAAAAAATCATGAAAATGATTTCTGTATAAGAAAATCAAAATCAAAGAGAATGCCGAAGAGTGAACGAAAGTGTGGTTCGATCTTAAAATTAACAAAACTTGCTCAAAATATGAACAAGGGGGAAATTACCTGGATATCCTTTAAAAAGTACAATATAAAAACAGTCGTTTCTAGACGACACTTTTCATGCGAATCTAGGTCAAATCCAAGTTACAACAAGTCGTAAAAGCAAGAACTAAGGTAGTTTGTTAATTACTTCCTTTGTTTAGCTAAAGTTTAAAATAAAGTTTGAACCCATATGCGTTGTACACGCATTTAAATGATAGATAAAACAAATGTCTTTCTGAAACGTAATCAACGATATAATTAGCTGAAATTAACTTAATTTAAGTATAATCTGGCAAATTTTCTTCTGTAAATATGAGAATTGGCATACGATTTTTCTTTTAAATTCTGATCACACCTTTGGCGTGACAACTGTAAATGGTTCGTATTCCAGGCGTCATCATAGTACAAATTATTCTGGAATAGCAAAGGGAATCACATTATTTTGTTTCTTTCAGGCGTCATTATAGCGCTTGTAGTACTGGCAGTGGGGTTCCAGCTGTCTGTTATCAATACTCCGGACATTTTCGTAACAGAAGCATCAAACGACACTAAATGTAGTGCGATCACGTAAGTACCGGTCTATACACGTAGGGCTCAGCACCACATGTATTGGTCTTAATTACTTTTAGTTTTCAAACTTACTATCGATCTTTGATTAAGTTTTTTCAGAAGAAAATGTGTAAAAGAATGTTTGAATGCTAGAACGTTGGAAGACGTTAGCTTGTTGACTTTCCCGGCCAAATGTCATTGCATTATATCATCCGGGTTTTCTATGTCGGCACCGTATATTGACACAAGATAAACAAAGCACGCGAGTTTGTATTTGTCATTTCTCAGTATTTAAGATAAATATAATTATGTAATTTCCAGACGTTTCATAGTTAATGAACGTTAATGTGCGTTTGACATCTATCTAGCAAAGGTGATGATGACCCAAATCACCCAACTTAATGAACAATTATAGGATGTGTAAAGGGAATAAATAACATGTACTTAAACTAATAACAATATGCTACTGAGCCGAGGGAACACTGGCTACCTGTTCAATGTGTTCCCTTTATTTGCAGACAATGCAATACTTGTATCACGGATAAAGATTGTGGATTCTGTTTCGAGAAGGGAAACGTATCCAGCGGGTCCTGTCTACCCACAATGGAAAAACATACTGAGCGGTACGCCAATCCGGAATTCAGTACGTTGTTCCGGTGTAACGAGACTAACTACAACATGGACTCCCCAGAGTACACGTGGGCCGACAACTTCTGTCCAACAGACTACGCATGGATGGCAATTCTGGGTCTTGCACTTTTTGTCATCGGTTTTGCTCCAGGTAAAAAGCATACACTGAAATCTCGAAAAGAAACTTATTTTTATCATTTACCAACGAAATTGTGCAACAGTTTTCATTGCGCCATTTGTTTGCAATGGTTACGTTCTTGTTTTGATAAATAACTAAAAACGTTCACCTTGTTATAAGTGCTATACACATATTTTGATAATTATCACTTAACAGTATAGATTTAGGTGTAATCAGAGTTGCAGTAAATTAAATATAGAAATTTTGATAGTATGTATGTCATTCACATCGTTATACTGAACTTCTGTCTCCTTTGTTCCTGTGGCTGTCTTCTTGTTTTGTATTGTTTGTTTTCTATATATAGTGATAAATCAAAATGTTTAGACAATAGGTTTGTGTTCTATAAGTAGTCACATCCTTGTATTTTCGTAAAGAAGTTGCCCTTGTGTTTATTGACGGGGAGGTATCCTTTTTACTTTATAATAGAAAGTTTAGTTTAAGTACAAGATTCAATTACAACCAAGGCTAAATCTTGAACTAAATGAGCGCTATGTAGTGATACATTGCGTTACTGTGGTTATGTTACAGGACTGGGTCCGATGCCCTGGACCATCAATTCCGAGATCTACCCCACGTGGGCCAGGGGTACATGTATTTCCATAGCCACCGCTGTTAACTGGATCGCCAATCTCATTGTTTCGATGACATTCCTCTCGCTCCTGGAGGCCATCACCACCTACGGTACCTATGACAAAATCTCACTAACTATACTAAAAGTTTTTTATTTTCATATTGGACATGTGCAGAACATTAAGGATGTAAAAATATCGGTGCTTGATATGGTGCAGGATTTCATATATTGCATTTCACTTGTGCCAATCTGACTACCATTGCGTTTCTTTTTTTATTTGATAAAGGCAATATAAGCGAAAATTTCCAAAGCAAATACAAACTTTAAAATGTTAAGAAACTAATGTTTTGTTAAGGCCATCATTTCATAATAGTGCTTCAGACACTTATTTGCGATATTTGAATATCTTATATCAACAATATCATATATCTATATTACAATGATATTTTAATCTTTTATTACCGTGAGCTTCGCAGCTCATAACAGCTAATGCATTTTCAACATTCAAGTAAGAAAAAAAGCTTTGCAATTATATAGCTGATGGTAATTTAAGATATTTTCGATGGTATTTTATAAATAATGATATAAACATATTTTCTCTTCAGGGACGTTCTATCTGTTTGCCGGAATTTCCCTGGTAGGACTGATATCTATCGGCTGCATACTTCCGGAAACCAAGAATAAGACTTTGGAGGAAGTACACGAACTCTTCATGTCGGAAGAGTATAAAGCACAGCATCATGCACCTCGTCTGTACGCCACAGATAACTTGGCTTTCGAGGAAAAGAATTCTAAACTATAACAGGACTTAGACAAGTGACATTTCTGCAAGGGCTGGACACAGGATTGCCTGGTGGGAACAGTGATCGACAAATAGTGTGTGGAAATGTGGAATAATGAATCCCATTTTCAAAGAGTATACTTCACACTCCAGAGAATTCAGTGCAAGGATTTCATAACACAGAACAATATAATTCTTCTCCTCAAGAACTGCTGCAGTAACTTTTAAAAGAAAACATTAAAATTCTGTGTTATTCAACTTAAGAGAACGGTAAATAATTTGACTTGTATGATTTTCAAACGATCATACATATCAGTAATACGAACAGATGAGGGAAAATTTAACATTCCTTTATTTATTTTTCTTATTTTAGTAGGGGACCAAAACTTTCTTTCCAAAATATCCCTACTACATGACCGATCACCGGCTTTTCCCCCTAGTTTTGTTTAATACGGTTATAAGAGATATTTGATAGGTGCTTACTTCAAATGTAATTGTTATTGCAATAACTACCGTGTCATCGACGGCATAACACCGATTACATGACAGGTCTAATAACACCTAGTCGAACTGTAACTGGCTGCAGGTTTCCATTATTTCAATCGGGACGTCACGATGTCATGGCATCATAGACTTCCAATTTCATTTCATTGTGACATCACAAAGCAAGAAGCATCAAGATCAAACATATTAATAATTCGAAATTCAAGTTAGTCTGAGAAAATGTTGTTTTCGTTAATATTTTCAACATATATTTGTAATGTGATAAACAGAATCTTATATTCGCTTCCATTTCATATGATATTTATTAATCGAGTCTCAAGAGTTAATATTTTTAGGAAGTCACTGGCGAGCTTTAAACAAAAACCATTACACTTGTTTCTTATGAAATGGAAATTCATGCAAGATCCTTCATATATATTATTTGCACTTGCAGGTTGAATTTTCGAGAAGAACTATAATATTTTAGACAAATCTACAAGTTTGCCTTTGGAATGCGTAGAGTCATCCTCGATATCCAGGGGTAACGCTCACTTTGAGAGCGAGAGTGAGCGTAACCCCTGGCTATCGAGGATGGTGTTGAGTATGAAGTGTTCACATGTACTAGTCATTCTGGTTCAGATGTCTCACCAATGATAGATAGGTTCAACATGACTGAGGTTCATTGCTAACATACGCCAGTCATGCATATCCATGTAACGAAAAGTTTACCATTAAGGCACATATTTGTATTTTTAAACTCTAGCCTCAGTATATGTAGTTGTTACCGTGTGTATAAGGGGTCGGTTGTAATTTGAAGATGCATAGGCCTATTATGACAGCTTATGATCAAATATCTGGTATCTTCATAATAATTAAAATTGACTTTAAAACATTCAAATTATCAAATGAAATTACATTTAATTTATTTTTGCTTTTATATGTAAATCATTTAAAGCTTGAAAAACGTAAACACAAATTAACAAAATATTTCACATTATCTTTTTTTTTTAGATATTGGTCATGTTTCAAACTTGTCTTTGAACGACAAAACACCATGCAAACACATTTTGAAGATTTCAACAAACGAAAATATGTCAATTTGAAAATTTAATTCAATAAAGTTCTGTGTATATGCTGGATTAGTAGATAGAATACTGTTTAAACTAAACTAACTACACGCTAAAACGTTACTAAAAAGCTGATGTCACAATACCATTGTGCTAAAAATAGTAAGGCCTTATTAGTTTTTCCCAAAAATTAATCAATTAAAATGAGCATTTTCGAGTCATCTTTTTTTATTGTGATCCTTCTGAATGCCATAACCATGTTCTTGTTTTATTTTAATTTAAATCAACTTAAATTCTATTTGTCCTTATTTGCTATTGATATTGTAATGTTATTTTATATAAAATTTGTGTTCATTACCCCATTCTGTGTATTAAAATCACGAAGTTAAAATGTCACTTGTTTTGTTCGTATGCAGTTATTTACCAAATAAGACTTTTTTTGTACAGGACTATTGTCATATTTATTAGAATACATCTAGGCCATCGTCGTCGGTAATCTATGGATAGTAGTATCGTTTCGTAAGTTCACGAACAAAATGTAAGTGACGGTAGGGAACCAGTTCGTGAAGTGGATGGTGAACAGGTGGCTGTGTCTAGGTACAGTGGAACTGTTTTGGAAGTAGGTTAGGGAGTGGACGGTGAACAGCTGTGTCTAGGTACAGTGGAATTGTTTTGGCAGTAGTTTAGGGAGTGGTTGGTAAACAATCAGCTGTGTCTAGGTACAGTGGAACTGTTTTTAGAGTAGGTTAGGGAGTGGACGGTGAACAGCTATGTCTAGGTCCAGTGGAACTGTTTTGGGATAAGTTTAGGGAGTGGATGGTAAACAGACAACTGTATCTTAATCAGTGGAATTGTTTTGGCAGTAGTTTAGGGAGTGGATGGTGAACAGACCGCTATGTCTAGGTACAGTGGAACTGTTTTAGGTGTTGGTTAGGGAGTGCATGGTGAACAGACCGCTGTGTCTAGATAAAGTGGGACTGTTTTTGGAGGAGTTTAGGGGATGGATGGTAAACAATCAGCTGTGTCTAGGCATAATGGAACTGTTTTGGGAGTAGGTTAGGGAGTGGACGGTGAAGAGCTGTGTCTAAGTACAGTGGAACTACCTGGGAGTAGTTTATGGAGTGAATGGTAAACAGACAACTGTATCTTAATCAGTGGAATTGTTTTGGCAGTAGTTTAAGGAGTGGATGGTGAACAGACCGCTGTGTCTAGATAAAGTGGAACTGTTTTGGGAGGAGTTTAGGGAATGGATGGTAAACAATCAGCTGTGTCTAGGCATAGTGGAACTGTTTTAGGAGTTTGTTAGGGAGTGGATGGTGAACAGCTGTGTCTAGGCATAATGGAACTGTTTTGGGAGTTTGTTAGGGAGTGGATGGTAAACAGACAACTGTATCTAAGTCAGTGGAATTGTTTTGGCAGTAGTTTAGGGAGTGGTTGGTAAACAATCAGCTGTGTCTAGGTACAGTGGAACTGTTTTTAGAGTAGGTTAGTGAGTGGACGGTGAACAGCTGTGTCTAGGTACAGTGGAACTGTTTTGGGAGGAGGTTATGGAGTGGACGGTGAACAGCTGTGTCTAGGTACAGTGGAACTACTTGGGAGTCGTTTAGGGAGTGGATGGTAAACAGACAACTGTAACTAAGTCAGTGGAATTGTTTTGGCAGTAGTTTAGGGAGTGGATGGTGAACAGACCGCTGTGTCTAGTAACAATGGAACTGTTTTGGGAGTTGGTTAGGGAGTGGATGGTGAACAGCTGTGTCTAGGTACAGTGGAACTGTTTTGGGAGGAGTTTAGGGAATGGATGGTAAACAATCAGCTGTGTCTAGGCATAGTGGAACTGTTTTGGGAGTTTGTTAGGGAGTGGATGGTGAACAGCTGTGTCTAGGTACAGTGGAACTGTTTTGGGAGTAGGTTAGTGAGTGGACGGTGAACAGCTGTGTCTAGGTACAGTGGAACTGTTTTGGGAGTAGGTTAGGGAGTGGACGGTGAACAGCTGTGTCTAGGTCCAGTGGAACTGTTTTGGGAGTAGGTTAGTGAGTGGATGGTGAACAGCTGTGTCTAGGTACAGTGGAACTGTTCTGGTAGTAGTTTAGGTAGTGGACAGAGAACAGACAGCTGTGTCTAGGTGTAGTGGAACTGTTTTGGGAGTAGGTTAGTGAGTGGAGTGTGAACAGACAGCTGTGTCTAGGTACAGTGGAACTGTTCTGGTAGTAGTTTAGGTAGTGGACAGAGAACAGACAGCTGTGTCTAGGTGTAGTGGAACTGTTCTGGGAGTTGGTTAGGGAGTGGACGGTGAACTGACAGCTGTGTCTAGGTGTAGTGGAACTGTTTTGGGAGTTGGTTAGTGAGTGGACAGAGAACAGCCAGCTGTGTCTAGGTGTAGTTGAACTGTTTTGGGAGTAGGTTAGGGAGTGGACGGTGAACAGCTGGATCTAGGTACAGTGGAACTGTTTTGGGAGTAGGTTAGGGAGTGGACGGAGAACAGACAGCTGTGTTTAGGTGTAGTGGAACTGTTCTGGGAGTTGGTTAGGGAGTGGACGGTGAACTGACAGCTGTGGCTAGGTGTAGTGGAACTGTTTTGGGAGTAGGTTAGGGAGTGGACGGAGAACAGACAGCTGTGTCTAGGTGTAGTGGAACTGTTCTGGGAGTAGTTTAGGGAGTGGTTGGTAAACAGCTGTGTCTAGGTACAGTGGAACTGTTCTGGGAGTTGGTTAGGGAGTGAACGGAGAACAGACAACTGTGTCTAGGTGTAGTGGAACTGTTTTGGGAGTAGTTTAGGGAGTGGACGGTGAACAGCTGTGTCTAGGTACAGTGGAACTGTTCTGGGAGTAGTTTAGGGAGTGGACGGTAAACAACTGTGTCTAGATACAGAGGAACGGTTTTTGGAGTAGTTCAGGGAGTGGATGTTGGATCAACTACTTAACATTACAAGGTTGAGGCACAAAGTGTGTAAGCAATTTGGTGAACCATTACTCATACCCCAGGGGCCAAAATGCTTACTTTCAAATTCAACTTGCTGTGAAACATGTTATGAAGCGGAGCAACTTTCAAACAATTTATTTTATATATATTAATTTCAACGCTCTTTTATCGTAATAATATATTATAATATTCGGATATACATATAACACTGTAACTTCACTGTAGGCCATATTTTGTATTGATCCTACATTGTACAAAAAGATGCTCAAAATAACATGCCCAGTTCAGCAGCATACAACATGATACGATAAATATATTGATTTCATTATTACCAGTGAAATTCAATGAAAGTGATATTTGTCACATCAAAACATATGCACACTCGTGAAAGATATCAAGATGCTAGCCACACTCGTGAAATATATTTGGTATATACGCCACTGGTATTACTAAAGACACTGTTAGATATCCTCTATTTATATTGATATTTACAAATTTTAGATAAAGATAGAAAAGACGAGCTATGCTGATCTCCTACAGCTCTTGAGATACACATATAGCATGCATAAAATCAATACATATTAGTGAATTGGTGACTGTTTGATAATTTCGGTTTAACAGGGTTATAAACCAGATCTGTCTGTATTTATTACTTTAATGACCGTTTACATAGAATGTGCTATGTAAGGAATATTGTCCACCTTACTAAACTATCAAACTTCTCAAAAGACATTCCCCGTACCATGCAAACCTTCTCCAAATAAATGACTCAAACTTTATTAGAGCGATGAATCGACCTGTACATGTACACTCTTCCTATGTATATACACATCATTACCCGCTAATCTCCCTTCTCAACGTCACTTCCAACTCACCTCACCTATAACTGAACACTATTTTCCACACAAACAAATATTCGTGTATAACATAGCGTGTGTATTGTTTTCATTTGTCTCATACATATTGAATGATTAATTTACAAAATCAAGGAGAAGCTCGTGAATAATAACACAATCATATGGATATACCTTACAAACTAAGCATATCAGTGAACATGTATATGTTACCGAGGAATGTATGACATGTATATACATACATCATGAGATAATGTATGTGAACGTTGTTGTTTGTTTGGGTGTTTTTTTTCTTGTTTCTTTTATTTCTATGCTTCCAATAAAATTAATTTGAAGTATATGCAAAATACTCCTAAATCGTCTTTAACCTGATGACTCCTCTACAAAGCGTTATCTGCAAAGCCAATTAGTGTTTCCGCACGTGCGTACAACGCAACCAAGGAGAAAAAAATCGTGTATCAATAATAATTGTTTGTCTAATTCTTCGCAATCTTTCATTTAATCGCAAATTTATGAGCTTGAAACTCGTTTGGAGATTGAATTGTTATCACAGATTTAATCAGTACGGTGGCCGAGTGGTTAAGGCGTTGGACTTAAGTTCCAATGGAGCTCTCTCCGCGTGGGTTCGAACCCCACCCGTACTAGTGTATTACTTTACCTCTTTTTTTAAATCATATAATCCCTAATCAGGTCAGATTTCTCGATGTTTATTTTTCCTTTCCCGGGCAAATATTATATAATTATCCAGAGCCAACATTGCTCTCTCTACTTTTCATGTCCTTACTTTTTCCTAGCTGAGACAACCATTGCTTCCATTCCGGGTCTCCGTGTTCCCTACCTATTGTACATTATTACTATCCCGAGTCTCCGTGTTCCCTACATATTGTACATTATTACTATCCCAAGTCTCCGTGTTCGCTACCTATTGTACATTATTACTATCCCGAGTCTCCGTGTTCCCTACCTATTGTACATTATTACTATCCCGGGTCCCCGTGTTCCCTACCTATTGTACATTATTACTATCCCGGGTCCCCGTGTTCCCTACCTATTGTACATTATTACTATCCCGGGTCCCCGTGTTCCCTACCTATTGTACATTATTACTATCCCGGGTCCCCGTGTTCCCTACCTATTGTACATTATTACTATCCCGGGTCCCCGTGTTCCCTACCTATTGTACATTATTACTATCCCGGGTCCCCGTGTTCCCTACCTATTGTACATTATTACTATCCCGGGTCCCCGTGTTCCCTACCTATTGTACATTATTACTATCCCGGGTCCCCGTGTTCCCTACCTATTGTACATTATTACTATCCCGGGTCCCCGTGTTCCCTACCTATTGTACATTATTACTATCCTGGGTCTCCGTGTTCCCTACCTATTGTACATTATTACTATCCCGGGTCCCCGTGTTCCCTACCTATTGTACATTATTACTATCCCGGGTCTCCGTGTTCCCTACCTTTTGTACATTATTACTATCCCGGGTCTCCGTGTTCCCTACCTATTGTACATTATTACTATCCCGGGTCTCCGTGTTCCCTACCTTTTGTACATTATTACTATCCCGGGTCTCCGTGTTCCCTACCTATTGTACAGTATTACTATCCCGGGTCC